TGTGAGCTGCCTTGTGGAAAGGCCCACGTGGTGTGGTGAGAAGTTCCTTCTCAGCCTGGGAGGAACTGAGTCCTGCCCACAACGACATAAGTGAGTTTGAGAACCAACCTTCCCCCCCCCATGGATCCTTCAGATGTGACCATGGCTCTGCTCACAGCTAAATGACCTCATAAGAGACCTAAAACCAGAAGCACCCAGCTAAGTTGCTATTGGATTCTTGACCCACAGAAACCATGAAATGATAAATGTTTGGGTTTTCTAGAATATCATGTTTTGTGATCATTTGTTTTGTTGTAATAGATAATAAATGGGCCTGTGATTGGCAGGCTCCAGGCTTGGCCAAATCCAGATGCTTGTGTGAGAACACCAGAAATCATCCTCTSTCCATCTTGAGGCCCAGCTAGGCTCTGTGTTGGGCTAATTTTCAGGTGGGATCACCTCTCTGGTGACAGAGTGGCTCCAGCAGCTCCAGGCTCACCATCTCTTGCCATACCAACTCCTTGGCCCACTTTGCTCACACCTGAACCAACACAGTAGCCAGGAGGATATAGTTCTGGGATAGGTGAGGCCTTGACACTTCCACCCTGGAGCCTGGAATCTGACTCAAATGGAAAGGCATATTTAGCCAAAGGGAGACTGGGCTGCTGTTGTGAAAAGTGGGCAGGCAAGAGGAGCCACAGCCCACCAGGGCATCAGAATAGAAGCGATTAGAATTGTTTCTCCCAATATGAAACTTTGAATCCTGAGAGCAGACAGGGAACAATCTCCTGGCATTTGCCTGGGAGACAAGCTGTGGAGAAATAGGGCCCTTTTCCCTGGAGGTGGGCCAGCAAGTCTACTGAGCTGCATGGTTGGCATTATGGAGTCTAGGGCTTTGCTCTCCAGTGGAAGATGCTGCAGCCATCCCTGGTAAAGTGGTACTGGTGACCTTTGTGTTAACCATTTTATTTGGACCTGGACTGGCAATCTTAAGCTTAGAGGTGTACAACCAAACACAAAGCCCCAAGCTGTAGGACGAAATCAAACCCACCCTTGATTGTTCCTCATGATGTTCATTCCCTGGAGACAGTGAGGAAGCAAATCCTTTCATTTATTCCTCATTCAGAGATGTGACCACTCAAAGATTACCTGGAGGTCAACACTACCTGGCAGGGCCCTGGGATGAGGCTGTGTAGCTCTTGGCTTGGATGTAATGAGAAAACCCATGGCCTTCCTCCATTATTCCTGCACCAGTCAGAGTGGGCAAGGTTATGCTGCAGAAACAAATAAGTTTCACGTACTGGTACTGATGTATTAAAACAGCAAAGATTTACTTCTAGCTCATGCTGTATGGTTGTGAATTGGCATAAGATTCTGATATCATTTTCACTCACAGTCTGGGTGACAGAGCAGCCACTATCTTGATGGTGCTGGATCATGTGCCAAAGAGGAGTGATCTCTGAAGGGTCTCAATAGGCAATTAAATGGTCCAACCAAGTAGAGACACATACCAGTTTTCCTCACAGTTCATTGTCCAGAGCTGGTCACATGCCTCTCCAAATCAGAAGGGTATGACATATACCTCTCCAAATCAGAAGGGTATGACATATACCTCCCCTTGCCCTCTTGAAGCTTTCCCTGAGCTATCCATCTCTGTACCAGTGTCCAACAAACTCAGTAACAAGCTTTAAGTAACAAACTTCCTTAGGGCTCAACTTGTTATAATGAGTAATCTTATCTCTTAGGAGCAGGAGATGATTTTATAATCTTCACAGTTGCCTTCATGCTCAGAACTTGAGAACTGGTCTAAAACATTGACTTGGATAACACCTGGCAATGACTTGATTTGTCTTCCCTTGTCTTGAATTATTTCTTTCTTCTTCTGGAACTGTCTGGATCACTAACATTATCCTTTATCTACTTATACACACAGAGAGAAATATGGGGTTAGATAGTCATCCCTTGCTTCCAGGAATCTCCCTCYCCCACCCAAGGATACCAAAATCCTTGCGTTCAAGGCCTTTCTATAAAATGATGTAGAATTTGCATAAAACCTATGTACCCTATATTTTAAATCGTATCTAGATGATTTATAATCCCAAATGCCATGTCTGTTAGTCAGCTTTTCATCACTATGACAGAGAATCTGAGAAAATCAACTTAAAGATTTATTTTGGCTCCCAGCTTCTGAGGTTTTTAGTCCTTGGTCAACTGACTCCATTGCTTTGAGCCTGAGGTGAGGCAGAACCTCTTGGTGGAAAGKCATGTCATAGGAAAGCTGCCTGCTTCATAGCCACCAGGAAGCTGAGGAAGCAGAGACAGACAGAGGCAGAGGACAAGATATGCCCTTCCAGGGTAGACCCCATTGACCTTCCTCAACTAGGCCCCACCTCCTACAGTTTCCATCACCTCCCAATAACATGCATATGATCCAATGACTTCCCCCAAAGCCCCACATCTGAGTATTGCTGCCTTGAGGATCCAACTTTCAACACATGAGTCTTTGGGAGTCACTTCATATCCATACCATAATACCATATAACTCCTAGGTTAATAGTTGTTTTACTTTGTTGTTTAAGAAATAACAACAAGGAAAAAAAGTCTCTGCATGTTCAGTGTAAATAAAATTTTTAATGAGATTGGTTGAATCAGTGGACACAGAACCCTTGGAGGTAGAAAGCCAACTGTACTTTGTGGACATATTTATACAAAATGAAAAACTTCTTCTTAGCAAAAGAAACAATCAATGAGGTGAAGAGTGAGTCTACATTTTGGGAGCAAATTTTTGCCACACACACGTCAGATAGAACACTAATCTCCAGCATACATAAAGAACTCAAAACTCTTAACACCAAAAAAAAAAAAAAAAAAAAAAAAAAACCAAACAACCCAATCAATAAATGGGCTAAGAAGCTGAGCAGACAGAATGTATATTTCAGAAGAAGATATACATTCAATCAACAAATATATGAAAAGTTGTTCAATATTTCTATTAATTAGAGAAATGCAAATCAAAACTACTCTAAGATTTCATCTCACACCAGTCAGAAAGGCAGTTATCAAAAATACAGACAACAATAAATGTTGGTGAGGATGTGGGGGAAAAAGCACACTCCTACATTGCTAGTGAGACTGCAAATTGGTGCAACCAATCTGGAAAGCAGTATGGAGATTCCTTAGAAAACTTTGAATGGAACCACCAGCTATCCCACTCCTCAGTCTATACCCAAAGGACTTAAAATCCGCATATTATAATAATGCAGCCACATCAATGTTTATAGCAGCTCAATTCATAATTGCTAAACTGTGGAAGCAATCTACATGCCCTTCAATAGATGAGTGAATAAAGAAACGGATATATATATACACATACATACATATACACAATGGAACATTACTCAGCATTAGAAAAGAATAAAATCGGGCTGGGGTTGTGGTTCAGTGGTAGAGCGCTTGCCTAGCATGTGAGAGGCACTGAGTTCGATCCTCAGTATCACATAAAATTAAAAGTATTGTGTCCAACTTCAACTAAAAAAAATATTTTAAAAAAGAATAAAATTTTGGCATTTGCAGGTAAATGAATGTAGATGGAGAATATCATGTTAAGCRAAGTAAGCTAATCCCCAAAACACCAAAGGCTGAAAGTTCTCTCTGATAAGTGGATGCTGATCCATACTGGGTGGGTGGGGGCATGGGAAAAATGGAGGAACTTTGATGGGGCAAAGGGGAGGGAAGAGTGGGAAGGGGAAATGGGGGCGGGAAAGATGGTGGAATGTGATGGACATCATTACACTAGGTACATGTATGACTGCACATATGGTGTGACACTACATCATGAAAAACCAGAGAAATGAAAATTTGTGCTGCAATTGTATACAATGAATCAAAATGCATTCTGTTGTCACATATACCTAATTTAAATTAATTAATTAATTTTAAAAGAAATGGAACACTTGCATTCATATCTGCCAAGAATGCTCATTCCTACTTTATGGACAGATGTATTCTTAAAGAGGGAAAGAGCATGACCAGGACTTGAAGAGAACGACTTTGGTGGTAAGAGCAGAAACGAGAATGCCTGCTGTGTGAATCATGGGGAGAAAAAGGAAGTGTGTGGCTTTGAGAGGTCATGATAGATGGGGAGGCCATAGGGGCAGTTGGTTGAATAGAGATTTTGATCTCAGGTTCCTTGAGTTTAGATCTTAACTTCTTTGCTTCCTAGTTGCATGATCCGAGGCAAGCTACTTCTCTGAGCCTCAGTTTCCTATCTCATAAGGTGGTTGTGAAAACCAGACAAGATTGTACACCAGTGCCCTAGTGCAGAGCATGTGTGCAGGACTGTGCAGCCAGCCTTTGCTATCAAGTGTGGTCATGATAAAAAATGGAATATGATTGCTCTCAATGGCTTCTTATTCATGGTTCCCATGGGAATGATCTGTTTATGTTCCTGTTCTTCATGTGACCCCTTTGTTTTATCAGTTGTATTTCTTTTTCTCCACTGTGTTACATWCCGTAAAATACCTCCAAACGGGGAAAAATATAAGGCTATCTCCCTCTTCCTCAGGGCTTGGATGCCATATTGGGGTTTCCATCTCCCCTGCCCTGGATCTTTCTAGAACTGTGAACTTCTTGAGGTGAGGTTCACATTTCATTTCCCTCCTGCTCAGGACTTGCATAGAATCATAGGTGCCTAATAGGATACAGGGGCTCCTAGAAAGGGGCGGGGTGAATGCACCATATAACGCCTTCGATGACCTCAGARCTTTGCTTCCAAGCCTCACCTGTAAACTGCAATGACTTTATGTGGGAGCTCAGGCAAGGAAGTTTGACTGGGGAACCTTTTCTACCAATGAAGAATGAAGCCAGTGTAAGGTGAGTCCTAAGAGTGACGGGGCAGGGGGCATGGTGCCTTATGGACCAGTCTTCAACGGATAGGGTCTGTCAACACTGCAGAAACTCTGCCCCCAGATAATCTGCTAGACGCCAAATCCTCACTTTCATCTCTCCCTGTGCCCCTGCAGTCCATGAGCCTCATTGAGATTGGGAACCCCTCTCAGAGTCTGGAGAACGTCTGCCGCTGGGCATACCTGCAGCAGAAGCCAGACACAGGCCATGATGAGTATCACGATCACGCCATCTTCCTCACTCGGCAGGACTTTGGACCATCAGGCATGCAAGGTGAGCTTCACCCCTGCAGGTAGAGGAGGGGAACAAAGCTGGGGATGAGCCAGTGGTCTTGCAAGAGGACCACTCAGCAGTCTTGACCCTTGCCAGGGAGGAGTCCCAGGGCAGGGAGGGGCTGTGACCCCCTTCGCTGGGTGAGGGTTTGTGTTGGTACCACCAGAATTTCTGGTGTTTCCCCCAGAAACTGCAATCCTTCACCCCCAGGGTCAAGAAAGATTCAAATAGAGGCGGAACCTGGCAGCTCAAAAATTAGACAGTGTCTGGGGGCTGGGGTTGTRGCTCAGTGGTAGGGCGCTCGCCTAGCGTGTGTGAGACCCTGGGTTTGATCCGCCGATTATTTTTTTTACATGAAAAATAAGTAAATAAAATAAAGATATTAAAAATAGTTTAAAAAATTAGGCAGTGTCTGAAGATGATTTTCAGAGCCATATGCTTCCACTGGTTTCTAAAAAAAAAAAAAAATCTGAATAAGTTGCTAACCTTTAAAAGTTTAGARATTTTTACATAAAGATTCAAACTATATAAAACTGACAGATCTAAAAGAAGAAATTGACAAGTCTACAGTCCTAGTTAAATATGACAACAGATAAGAAATTGGCAAAGATGGGGCTGGGATTGTGGCTCAGCGGTAGAGTGCTTGCCTAGCATGTGCAAGGCGCTGAGTTCAATCCTCAGCACCACATACAGATAAATAAATAAAATAAAAGTACAGTATCCAACCACAGCTGAAAAAAATGTTTACAATTTTTTTAAAAATTAAAAAGAAAGAAATTGGCAAAACTAAAGAAGTTCTGAATTAAGAAACTTGACCTAATTGATAGGTCAAGTTACACTTATTTCTGGATATCTTGGCTTGTATTCAATTGCAATGGTACCAGTTTAAATTTTTTTGTATCCATTTATTGTGAGAATATAGAAATTCTATACTTCTTGACTATTAGAAAATAAATTATCATATAAATAAATAAACACATGAAAATGTAGCCAAAGAAGGGCTAGTGTATAGCTTGGTGATAGAATGCTTGTCTAACATATGCAAGGCCCTGGGTTTCATCCCCAGCACTCAGAAAAGAAAAAGAAAATATACGAAAACAAATAATGATGGGCCTAGAGAAATATCAACAAAATGTAAAAGATCAAAATTATGTGTTGTGTATTCCTTGACCATCGTGGATTAAAAAGATGAGAAACCTTAAATGTTTGGAAATTAAGCAGTACACTTATAAATAATCTATGGGTGAAAGAGAAAATAACTGTAGAAATTATAATGTATTTTTAAACCAATAACAATGATGATTTGACATATTAGATTTTACGTATACAGCTAATTATGATTAGATATTTATACCCTTATGTGCATTTATAAGGAAAAAGACTCAAAAGTCAATCACATATGCATATATCACAAGAAATTAACAAAGAACAGAAAATTAAGCGCAACAAAAGTAGAAGGAAGGAAATTATAAAGATAAGGGCAAAATTGCTGAAATGAAAAACTGCAGTAGTTAAAAAAGAAAAAGCAACAAAACCACTTTGGTTCTTTGAAAAACATGGATTAAAACTGAAAAACTCCTGGCAATACTGATTTTTAAAAAAATTTAAAAATGCAAGTCAGTACATATCCTACAGAATTTTAAAAGCTAGTAAGAAATTATTTTGATCAGCTTTATGCCAAAGAATATGTTAATTTAGATGAAAGGAAAAATATAAAATCTGAGAAAATAGTAGAAAATCCAAATAGTGTCATATCTATTAAGGAAATTAAATTTTTAATTAAGATTTTCTTTAAAGTAAACTCCAGGGTGTTATAACTTTCCCAGGTAAGTTTTTCTAATATTTGAGGAAGAATAATACTAATCACACACAAATTTCTAGAGAATGAGAAGTTACATTTTCCAACTAATTTTATGAGAACTGAAGTTTGATAACAAAATCTGAGGGCATTAAAAGAAAAAATATTCACAGTCCAACATCCCTCATGAATGTAGACACAATGTACCAAACAAAATATTAGCAAATCAAATCTGGTGSGAGAGTATTAAAAAAGTACCATATTACAGTGAATGTAAGTTTATTCTAGGAATACAAGGTTGATTTAATATTTGAAAATTAATCATTGAAATTCATCACTTAGCAGAATAAAGTAGAATGATATATAGTTATCTCAGTGGGTCCCAAAACAATATTTGAGAAAAATCTAGATCCATTTATGATCAAATGTTCTATGGGACTAGAAAAGAAGAAAAATTCTTTAATATAGTAAAGAGTAGTTGCAGAGAACTTACAATAAATCCATATATAGTGATGAAATGTTGAAAGCCCTTCCTCTAGGCTGAGAATGGGTCACAAATGCCTGCTATCACCATTTCTATGCAGCATTGTGGTAGAGATTCTATCCAGTGAAATAAGAGAAGAGAAAGAAAAATGAAAACATAATGATCACAAAGAAAATTAGCAAGCTTTCATTTGAAGATGATATACTTGTATATATAGAAAACCCAAAAGAATAAATGAATAAAATTATTAGAATTTCTAGTTAGTTTGATCATGGTTGCTGGAGATAATGTCAACATACAAAAATTGAATTTCTACATCCTAATAATAAATGGAAACTAAAAATTAAAAACTAGTGCCATTTACAATAGAATAAAAAACAGAAAATATCTAGGAATGAGTACAACAAAATATTTCCAAGATCTAGATTAGAAAACTGTAAAACATTTTTGAAAGAAATTATAAAATACTAAATAAAGGAATGGATATGCCATGTTTATGGATAGGGAGACTCACTAATATAGAGTTAACTGTTTTCTCCTAATTAATCTATAGAGTCAATGCAACTGTACTCTAGGGCACACCAATGCAAGTTCAGTTCCAGCAGAATACTTGGAAGATATTAGAATCCAATTGATCTAGTATTTATATACAAATTCAATGGGCCAATAGTAGCCAAGAGCAAATGACTAAGAACAATGTATTCAATACTTATAAAATAAAGAGTATATTTTTAATGCAAGGATTGACACATCATTAGAACCCAATATTGAATCAAGAACTGAACTTATACATGCATGAACACTTGATTTATTGCAAAAGTAACACTCCAGAGTAGAGGGCAAAGAGAGCCCTTTTAAAAATTAGGAAAAGAAATCAAGCTTGACATTCTAGTTCTCAAATATCATCTATATACAAATATTACTCATGTGGACTTTAGATCTAAGTATAAAAGAAATGAAATAAAACTTGCAGAGGATAATCCATTTTGAACATCCTTAATCTGAGAACCTGAAATCTGAACTGCTCCAAAATACAAAAGTTTTTGAGCATTGACCTGACACCACAAGTGGAAAATTCCACACCTAACCTTATGTGATAGGTCACAATGCAGGTACACTAAAAATATCATATGAAATTACCTTTGGGATATCCATATAAGGTATACATATGCATGCGCGCGTGCACACACACACACACACACACACACGAAACATAAATGAATTTAGTTTTGATTTGGGTTCTATCCCCAAAATATCTCATTAATCTCTTTATATATATGCAAGTATCCCAAATCTGAAAAGATATGATATATGAAACATTTCTGGACCCAAGCATTTTGAATAAGATCTACTTAACCTGTATTGGAGAAATATCTCCATGCTCTTGGATTAAGAGAAATGATTTTTTTAAAAAGAGACAAAAAGCTTTAACTCTTTGGAAAAGATTAGTAGTGCCACATTAACATTAAACCTTTTGTTCATTAATCCATGAGGGAAACATTTATACATATGTCTAATAAAGGATATACCTGAAGTTTATGAAAAACTCCTGCAAATCAACAGTAATAATAGTAATAATAATTAAAAAAACCAATCCAGTAGAACAATGAGCAACAGACTTTATCAGGCTCTTAATAAAATACAAATGACCCATAAATACATGAACAGGTGCTCACACTCAGTAGACATTAGAGAAATACATTTAAAACTACAATGAAATACCATGACACACCTAATAAAATTGCTAAACAAAACAAAACGAAAAGATTGACAATAACATGTGTCAGTGAGGCTGTGGATTAGATCCCCCTGAAATCCATGAAGCAAATTGATGTGCCTAGCCCATATAAATTTCACTGCCAGCCTGGGAAACTTAGTAAGAACCTGACTCAAAAATGAAAAATAAAAAAAGGCTGGGGATGCAGCTTAGTGATAGAGCACCACAGTACCATAAATAAATAGATAAATAAATAGATAAATAAATAAATGTGAAAGAACAACCAAGGATTTACAAGATTAAAAAAAAATTTACAGCAGGAAATGAGATGAACCAAGATGCTTGAAAACTTACTCCAGAGAAAATAGAGCTAATTCAGAGAAACGAAAAGAACATTTTATAAAGTAGTATTCCCAGAATGTTTGAGAAAAGACATCCACAAACTCAGAATAAGTTGATATGAAACATTAAAGAACAATAAAGAATTTTTATGAAATCAGGACTATGATGGGTAAATTAAAAAATTCTAAAGCGGAGCATTCTGAAATTTGGAGGAAAAGGACAAGAAGATTGAAATAAGAGAAAGTTAGGAGATAATAACATCTATCTAATAAGATTTCTAGAATGAGAGAAAAGCTACAAAATAAAACAAGGAAAAAATAAATGAAGAGACCTTTTCAAATCTTTCAATTAATTTTTTTATTGACAGGTAATAATTGTGCCCTTTTTTGATCTTAAAGGTTCATACAACACTAAGTGGGATGCATGAAAAGTCCTCTACACTGAGGCACATATTCACATGCATGCTTTGCATTCCTAAGGGCAAAGAGATCTCAAAGTTCTKCTCCAACATACTGATTTAAGAACCATTCCCTCTAAATATGCAGAGTGAAAAGTAGACCTGTTTATTCCAAGAGGAAAAGGCACTGGTTCATACTTTTATTTTTACAGACAAGTCCCAAAGCCAGCATACCCCAGGCCACAAAAGTCATTCTTTTCTTCTCCTCTTCTCTTTCCTCCCCATCCCCCTTCCCTTCCTCCTTTTCTTTAAGCAAATTGCCTTGGTATCTCCCAGTGGCAAGAGTGAATCTAGCTTAAGGTACTGAGAATTGGGGCTGCATATTTGCCTGGCTTCCAGGGTATTTATTAAGGCCCCTGGGTATTTATGTAAGTAGAAGACCCCTTTGATACACAAAGCCCTGCATATGCTTCACCCTACTGAGACGAGAACCAGAAGAAACATGGGGGACCCCAGGAAGACCCTGCAGAGGAGATAGGCTTGGAGGATGTAATGCCAGAGAAGCGAAGGGCCAGGATGGCTCTAGCAGAGTAAGAGGTATGGAAATTGGGCTGCTCAGGGGCCAGAACGTCACTCCACAAGGTAGAAAAGTGAGAACAACAGGCAGGAACTGCCAAGGTGGCAGACAAGTCCTAGCAGAGGAGACCTGGACCAGGAAACTGACCCCAGCTACAGGAAACTGTGGACTTTAACAAGTCAGCTGGCTTCCAGGCTTGGATGGTGATGGTCTGGRGACCGGTGGCATGGGGTGGGTGTCTTCTGAGGCTGTCTGGGCAGAGGCCAGTTTCTGCTCATTTGCCATGGGAATGGGTCCTGGAGAAGCAGCACTCGGGATGCCCATCTCCTTTAGGCTTTTATAGGGTCTGGGGCTGCCTCAGGCAGGACTCTGGGCCTGGGAACTGGAGCCGCCTTTTGTCTYCTCTCAGGCTATGCTCCTGTCACCGGGATGTGCCACCCCGTCCGCAGCTGTACCCTGAACCATGAGGACGGCTTCTCCTCAGCATTTGTGGTGGCCCATGAGACTGGCCACGTGTAAGTGGCCTGGCCATCCTTGTTGTCTGGGGAAGATCGGGGCTTAGAGAGAACACCCCAGGATCCTCCCCTGGCTGCCCACTTCTCCTCTATGTCCTGAAAGGGACAGCTGTGGATGAAAAATCACTTGGATACGATATCCTGTCATCCCAGGACTGCAGGGATATCCTGTTTCTATTGAAGGAACAAATCAAAGGAGGAAGCACCTAAGGGCTGCGAGGCTGCTTGGGGCCAGACAGGAACTAGAGTCCTTGTACCATAGTCCCATGCAAGTCGTGGGGCAGGGTGGACTCATTACCCCCATTTTATAGATGAGTCATTGAGGTGAGAGATGCTTGAACAAGGTTAGAAAGCCATGATTCTACTCAAGTGTGCACGCCCCAGGCATTTCTGAATSTTGGGGCTGGAGAGGGGTTGGTGGGAAACCTCACAGGGATGCTGGGGCTATGCAAGGGAGGGGGCTTGGGCCCACTCTGATAAACGTGTAGGAGAATCCTTGGGACATTAGGGGCTGCAGATGCCTCTGCCACACAGTGGCCCTCCTTGGAGATAGGATACCTGAGACGCTGCATGCTGGATGCCTCCTCCCCAGAATAACTCTGACTTAAAAGAATATAACAGGTGGAAAGTCGGTACCACCTGGCTCAGAGGAGGTCAGCTGGGAGGAGGTTGAGGGATGCCCTCCTAGAGTTTGAGTATGGTGTAGGTGGCAGGTCAGTGCATCCAGGTGAGGACCCAGCCAAGCTACTTTGCTCCCTGCACAGGCTGGGCATGGAACACGATGGTCAGGGCAACCGCTGTGGCGACGAGGTGCGACTGGGTAGCATCATGGCGCCCCTGGTGCAGGCTGCCTTCCACCGCTTCCACTGGTCCCGCTGCAGCCAGCAGGAGCTCAGCCGCTACCTGCAGTGAGTACCTCAAGGGTGTCCCCATGGGTGACCCTTCAGTCCCTGGGCTCAGCTTTAGGAGGGTGCAAGTCCTGGGTGTGCCTGGGTCTAGCCTGAGCTCCCCGATTTCAGGTCCTGCAGTGTGAAGTGCAGGGGATGGAAGAGGGTGCACTTGCCAAAGTCTAATATTGGGGGCCCCAGTCTTGACTGGCAGGTGAACCAGTCAAGAATCTATGCAAGCCAGGTCTTGGTATCTTCTACAAAGGAAAAGTGTTACAACAGGGAAACTGAGGTAGCACATCCAAAGGCTGGGGCATGCGGGCAGCTCACCATGACGGCTCCAGAAAGGGCCTCAGCTGCCTTATAGGCTGCATGGCCAGTTCCACTGAAAGCTGCTTATGGCACCCACATGTCCCCTCACAGCTCCTATGACTGCCTGCGTGATGACCCCTTCGCCCATGACTGGCCAGCCCTGCCCCAGCTCCCAGGGCTGCATTATTCCATGAACGAGCAGTGCCGCTTTGACTTCGGCCTGGGCTACATGATGTGCACCGCGGTGAGTGTTAGCACCCATAAGCCAGTGGCACCTCCAGGGACTGTGAAGGGGGACCTTCTCCTGGATCCTGCCAGGCTTCTCCACCTCACAAAAGACCCAGGTTGGGGTTGGGTCCCCAAGTGCCCACCTGGGCAAGAAGTACACAGATGGCAAGGCTGAGACCAGGAGGTCAGCAAGGGATAGGGGAGCCTGGCAAGGCCTTTGTGTAAGCCTGCACGGTTCAGGATGGCTTCCCCAGGAAGAAGTGAAGTATAAAGAATAAGAAGGAAGACAGGGAATTCTGGAAGAATCGAAGGTGCAGAAGCCTAAGAGCAAGAACATACACAACATGCAGAGAACATCCAGTTGTTCCCCAGGACTGACAGCAAGGGCACAGCCGGCAGCAGGAGCCCAATCATCAGAATTGAGGTGGTGGGGCAGGAGTTTTAGTGTCTATTGGTGTGACTTAAGTTCATCAGCACTGCAGGAAGAGCATGAAAAGTAGTCCCATTTTATAGATGAGGAGACTGAGGTCTGGGGAAGTTAGGTGACCTGCCTGAGTTCATGTGAGATGCAAGTGGTGGAGTTGGGTACTGAAGCAAGAGATCTAACACCTTCCGTGACTTCCTAAAGAGCATGGTGGACTCATTTCTTGTGGAGGGCTCTACAAAGTTTTGAATAGGAAAGCAGCACAGACAGATCTGAGCTTCAGTTGGATCCCTCAGGGGCACCCCAGAGGAATGAAGCAGAAAGGTCATGGAAGAGGTAGTTGTGAGGGGGACAGAGGCYGAAGCTGGAGCAAGGGTGAGACTGTAGGAGCAGTGGAGAGAGCTTCACCAGGGCTTCAGCAGATTCACAGCAGGGAAAATGTACATGCCCAGAGGGCCCAGCAGTGACAACCCTTCAGATCCCCCAGCAACTCCTACCTGGGCCAAAGGGTTTCCCATCCAGTTCTCATGGCTCCTAGCTATCTGTCCAGGCTCTAAAGATGGAGGTTGGGGAGSTCCAGATATGCACAAGGACACGGCAGCATCCGCCCTGTATGCACATGGTCCTTGTGGTCCCAGAATCATGCAGAGTTTACAGCATCCCCCAGCTGCACAGGCCTGTCACAGAGGGGAGGGTGGCACCCCTGGATGGTCCCCCAGAGTGGAAGGTAGCCTAGTTAGCTGCTGGTGTTTTCTTCCAGTTCCGCACCTTCGATCCCTGCAAACAGCTTTGGTGCAGCCACCCTGACAATCCCTATTTTTGCAAGACCAAGAAGGGACCCCCTCTGGATGGGACTATGTGTGCACCTGGCAAGGTAAGTCAGGACTGAGGGCTTTTTGAGGGTGACTGGAGCAGAAGACAGGCAGCCACCCAATAGCATCAGGTTGGAACTTCATGGTTGAATCTTAGTGGCTTTGTTAGAAGAGAGAGACCAGAAGAAACACACCTGTGCTCTCTGTCTTTGTCATGACCCTGTACTTACAATGCCAGGGCAAATCTAGCATCTCAAAGCTCTTTACTGTGTCTCAAGCCTCCAGCACATTGTGGATGACTGTGGGTCACCTCACCCTGAGGTCAGCATTGGGAGCCTGTGACCACTGGGTTCCCAGGCACTGCATGAGGTTTAGCCTTTCTATCCTCAGGACCTCTGTGTTGGCCCCTAATCAGGCATATTAATCCCTCAAAGTCACTAGATGGCCACCCCAGGCCCACTTCCCACACTCCGAATCTATAGAAAGAAGGGCTTCTCCTTCCCTGTAGACCCAACCAAAACTCCAGCACTGATTCTCACTGGTTCAGGTGAAGTCACATGCCTGCTCCTTGACCAGTCACTTGCCAGGAGGCTAACAGATACAAATGACCCTAAGCCTGGATTTCCTCCCAGAAGGGCTGGGCCCCACCAAAGCTACACTGGCCATCAGGGGACATCAGGGAGTAGGGAGCAAACTTCAGTGCATGTCCCACAGCATCAGGCTTTCCCCAGATCACATGGGCCTGCGGTTCCTCAGTGCAGGTCTTTGGTCAGGACTGAGAGGGCTGTCTAATTTTAGTTTCTGGGGGAATGTTTTAAAGATAACAAATTCCCAGAAGGTAGGGTTTAGGAACCCAGCATTAGCATTTTGTTTCATTTTGTCTTGTTTTAAATTATGATAACATTCACATAAAATAAAATTTCACCATTTTAACTCACGTTTAAAGTGCACAGTTCAATGGTATTTAGTCATTCACAATATTGGGCAGCCATCACCACTATTTAGCTCCAGAACTTTTTTTTATCACCCCAAAGGATAGTCCTTTCCCCTGGTCYGGAGCAACTACTAATCTGCTGTCCACAGAGTTGTCTATCCTGGAATTTCATATAAGTGGAATCACATAATATATGACCTTTGGTGTCTGATTTATTTCACTTAAAATAATGTGTTCAAGATTTGTCCATGTTGTAGCATGGATCAGTGCTTCCTTCCTTTTATGGCTGAGTAATATTCCATGCATGGTTTTACCATGTTTTGTTTATCCACTCATCCTTTGACGGACATTTGAGCTTTTTCACCTTTTGGCAGTTGTAATGCTGCACTGAACATTCTTATATTACTTTTTGTTTGAAGACCTTGTATTTGGTATTCTTAAGAAGTGCTCCAGGTAATTCATCTGTGCTCCAAACTTAGTAAATGTTGGAAGTGGGAGATGAGATTTTAGTAATATTCCAGGGAGCTGGTAAAGCTAGAGCTGACCTGGTACCTCCTTCCCACAGCTGACCTGGTACCTCCTTCCAATACAGCTCTCATGATCTAAACATCTCTTAAAGTCCAACCTCCCAATGCCTTTGCTTTGGGGGTCCAGTTTTCCACTTTATGGACTATGGGGAGACACATTCAGCCCATAGCAGAAAGCAGTCATCCCTTATCTTTCCTTTCCTCTAAGGAAATCCAAGGTTCAAAGAGAAAGGAGCAAGGGAAAGTCTGGCCTCACTGGAAAAACAGCAGGTCACCAGATGAAACTGTCTCAGTGACCAGGGCTTTGCCAAGCTCAGCTGACTCTCTTCTTTCCCCGGATCCCTGGCAGGCAGTGACACAGAGCTCAGTCTCTGGACACAGCCAGCCTCCTTTTCTGTGCTCTGTTGGGTCATCCCAAGTATATCTTGCCCCTCTTGAATTCCATCACCTCATTATTCACATTTACTCACAATTTTCCCACTCACAATTTTAGTATCCACTATTTTTTTCAGAGAGAAAACTCATCTGTATTGATATTCTAGACATAGAGGTAACCCAGAGAGAAGCAGCAGGACCTACAAATGGGCCACCTGCTCCACCCTTTAGCATACAGCTCATTCACTGTGCACTCCTGGTTGGACGGTTTGAGTCAGCTTTTTCCAGATCCAAACCATAACTTAAGACTTTAACCATATGCTTATAAAGCACTTTAATACCATTAAACAGGTTTCTTTTATGATCCTATGTGAGAGATCAGAGTATGACATTATTCATTCAGAATAATAACACTGTTAAATGCTAAGAGTTATCCAGGAGAAATAAACCAACATATTAGAGGGCTGACTTCCAGATGGTAGTTTTAAGGGTGATTTTTACTATCTTTCTGCTTTGCTTTGTTTTTCTGTTTCCTATTGTATTAGTCCTTTGTTGTTGTTTTGGTTACTGTACTGAACACTGGAGGCAGGACAATTTTATAAAGAGAAGAGGTTTATTTAGCTTACATTTCTAGAGGTTCAAGAGCAGAGTGCCTGCAATAATGAGGACCTCATAGCGGATAGTATCACTAACGTGTGCAAGAGGGAGAGCTCAAATCTCAAAAAAAAAAAAAAAAAAAAAGTCAGAGAGCACTTTAGGATTGGGCTCATTCTTATAACAGTTCACTCTTCCAAGGGTCTCAGGGGTTCCTAGAGAGCTGCCTTATTCCCTTCCAAGGGGTTACCTCAGTGACCTTTCACATGGCTCTTTCTCCTGAAGGTCTCAACAGAGCTGTACTATGCACCAGGTCTCCAAAACATGAACCCTTGGGGGCTACAACCTCATTCATACCACAGCACCTACAATGTTCATGCATTGCCTCTATACATGCAGGACCAGGGTGGCCAAGGACATAGACCCATGGGAACTGGGCATGGCCTAAGTAGTCTTGCCTAGCTCCTAATTTCCAGGTTAGGGACAATGAACCCAGCCAAGAAGGAGGCCACTGTGTGACCTTTTTCAACCTCCTGGTCCCTGTTTTTAGTGGCCATCAGTGACTTGGAGTCTGCCCCAGTCAGCCTTCACAGATGTGAAGTCAGATGTGCCAGGACAGATGGCTCCCTCCCTGTCTTAGTCATCTTGGACCATAAAAATACCATAGACTCACAGTTCTGTACGTTGGGAAGTCCAAGGTCAGTCAGGGTTTCAGCATGGTCCAGTTTATGGTTTGCAGGTTTCCATTTTCCCATATGCTCACATGATAGTGAAAGAGCATCTCTATCTCTTTTTTTTTTTTTTAGAGAGAGAGTGAGAGAGAGAGAGAGAATTTTTAATATTTATTTTTTTTTAGTTCTCGGCGGACACAACATCTTTGTTGGTATGTGGTGCTGAGGATCGAACCCGGGCCGCACGCATGCCAGGCGAGCGCGCTACCGCTGAGCCACATCCCCAGCCCATCTCTATCTCTTTTTATAAGGACACTAGTCCCATTTATGAGGGCCATGACTTAATTATGTCCCAAGGGCTCCACCTCCCTATACCATCACATTGGAGATTAGGGCTTCAGCACATGAATTTGGGCTGGAGTCAGGGCAAGCATAAGTATTCAGTTCATCGTGCTCCCTTACCTGGTACCTCCTTCTTACTTGTCAGCCCAAGTGCTGTCATGGTGGTGGGAGATGAAGCTGGGGAGGAAGTAGAGGTCATCCCTACAGCGCCTTTGAAAAACAGCCAAAACACTAGTTTCATCTATCATARTGGGAAACTAGCAAAAGGTTTGGGGGGGAGGTACAGAGGTGGATTTACCATGAAGCTTATGATGCTTAAGCTTTGGGGCCCCTCACTTGCATGAGTTCCTTCCAAAGCCCTAGCAATATACTCCCTTGGTCATGTTTTCATGAAATTTGCAAAAGTAAGATATTTTCACCATCATCAATGGAGATCACTTCTCTTTTCACTCCTATTTCCCCTTGATACACTTCTTCCATTGGCTGGCACTAGAGTGACCAAGGGCATTTTGCAGTTTGGGCAACAGAGAAATTGGATTTGGGTTCTAATTATTCATTTATTTGTTTACATGATTCTCAGTCTCTTACGTGAATAGTTAAATTATTATGTCCATCCAGGTTTAAGAGTAATTTCCAGAAATATTCTGACTGCCACTGTACTAGCTGATCCAAGGCCAAAGCAGACCATGTGCTGTGTTTAACTCATTTTCCTCAAATTTTTTTGAGAAAAAGGTGCCTCAGCTATATCTGAGATCAGCACTCGTATGTTTATGATAAGTCATTTTCTTTAGGGGCTTGTCTTTTAGATGGAGTACCTTAAAGAAATCCAGTGTGCATATTTCTTTAGAGAGGCTACATCATCACAAGATAATCTATTGCTTAAAAGATGTCATAGCCTCACAATATATGTGTGACAAAATAATAATAATAATAATCTCTAAGATAAATGCTCAAAGACCAGAGAGAAACCTGGGTGAAAACGAGGTGCCAAGATGTTGACAAAGCCTTAAAACACCTCTTGAGCTGCAATTTTAAGAGTTATCTTAGAGTGTTTCAACAGAATAAGGGAGAAATTACAGACTTCTGGTTTGCATGTGTGTATGTAAAATGACCTTCTTTTATCATTTTCAAATTATTTATTAAAAGAAAGAAAGTTCACATAAAAACAGGTAAAGAGAAAGAAACCAATAGAAATAACTCTGACTTCAAAATGTTAATTGTTAACAATAACAAAAAGGTTTCATATCAAACCCCAGTCAGTCAGTCTGTCATTAGGAGGTAGAGATCCAGATCAGAGAGGTAGCAGCAGGATCTTGGAGTGTTTGACAGTCCAAGTAATGAAGAGAAGTGAATATGATGAGGACACTGGAAAAACATTTAAACTTCTTTCTAATTTGACATGAAATGTCGACAGCATCAAAGACAGAATGAAGCTCAGAATATTGCACCGACAGCAACACTTACTGAGCGTTGCTAATCCAAAGAGTTCTGACTGAGAGAACTCTGTTCTCTGAAATCCACATCAAGAAGGAAACCAGACAACAGTTTCTACGGATCTGATGATCCTCAGTGTTCAGATGACATCATCAATGATTTCTATAAATTATCAATAGTAAAAA